GTGTGTATCTTGTCTAGTTTTATGTCATCTTGACACAAGCTAGAGTCATCTGAAAGGAGGGAACCTCAACTGAAAAAAATGTGTCCATAGATCCATTTTCTTAATTAGTGATTGATGGGGAGGGCCCAGTCCATTGTGGGTGATGCTATCCCTGGGCTGGTGGTCCAGGGGTCTATAAGAAAGCAGGCTGAGGAAGCCATGAGGAACAAGCCGGTAAGCAGCTCCCCTCCTTGTCCTGTGCATCAGCTCCTGCCTCCAGCTTCCTGCCCTGTTTGAGTTCCTGTCCTGACTTCCTTCAGTGATGGACTACAATGTGGAAGAGTAAACCAAATAAACCCCTTCCTCCCCAACTTGCTTTTGGTCATGGTGTTTCTTGACAGCAACAGTGACCCTAACTAGGACATGGGATAGGGACATGGTGATGCATAGGCCTTAATTCCAGCACTCTCAGGAGGCGGAGACAGAAGGAACCCTGTGAGTTGGAGGCCTGCCTGGTCTACATAGCAAGTTCCAGGAGATCCAGGGTTATATAGAGAGATACGCTGTCTCAAAAAGTAGGAGAAAAAAAGAAGGAAAAAAGAAAGAATTGCGTAGCTTTTCTCTAGATAGGATGTATGTCAGTTCTCTATGGTGATATATTGTGTACCCTAGTAAAATTGCCTGAAGATCAGAGGACAGAACAAGCCACTAGATTAAACATAGAGGCCAGGCAGTGGTGGAACACACCTTTAATCCCAGCACTGATGAGGATCTCTGTGAGTTCAAAGCCACCCTGGACTACATGAGATTGACTCACTCTAGGAGAGAAACAGAGACAGTCAGTGTTAGCATACATTTTTTTTGTTTGTTTGTTTGTTTTTGTTTTTTCAAGACAAGGTTTCTGTCTGTAGTTTTGGTGCCTGTCCTGGATCTCATTCTGTAGACCAGGCTGGCCTCAAACTCACAGAGATCCCTGTGGCTCTACCTCCCAAGTGCTGGGATTATAAATTTGGTAAATTTATGACTAAATTTCTTTTTTTTTAATTTTTTTAAAAATATTTATTTATTACATATTCAGTGTTCTGTCTGCATGTGTCCCTGCAGGCCAGAAGAGGGCACCAGATATCATTACAGATGGTTGTGAGCCACCATGTGGTTGCTGGGAATTGAACTCAGGACCTTTGGAAGAACAGTCTGTGCTCTTAACCACTGAGCCATCTCTCCAGCCCCTAAATTTCTTTAAAAAAACAAAAACAAAAACAAATAAACAGCCCTTGCTGATTTAGAACTCACTTTTTAAACCAGGCTAGCCTCAAACTTACAGAGATCCTCCCGCCTCTGCCTCCTAAGTGCTGGTTTATTTCTTCACTTTTATGCACTATTATTCTACAGAGCAGAGAGGTGTATCAACAAAGTTTAATAACTACTTAGATATTGCTTTACTTTTTCTTTGCATTATAACTGTACAAGAAAGAACAAATGAATGAAATGTTTGTACTGCATAGTTATAACATGGTTTTATTGCCTAGCAACTCTAGATGTCAGTCAAGCTCATTGATTGTTTCTTCTCAGGAAGTCATGTCTTATATTCCTATATTTGTCAAGTAAGTTTAGGTTATACCATAGGAATTGGAAATGTTACGTTGCAGAGATGTTATTTCTCTTTGATAAAGCAAGAAATTGACTTGGACTGGCCCTTTCTGTCCTGGGCAGCACCTCAACTGCCAGTTCATCCCTTTTGTTCTTAAATGGGGTAGTTGGGTTCTCCCTGTACATGTATGTGCTTCAAGATTCAGCCAGAAGTCAGGTGTGGGGGTGCATGCTTGTACTCCTAGCACTTCTGCAGCTTGAGGCAGGAGAATTAAGTTTAGGCAAACATAGGCCAAATAGAATGACTGTCTGAAAAAAAAAAAAAAAAACTTTTACAGGTGAAGATGTCATCTGAATGGGCACTCATCGTGTGCCATTCATTTCCTCTAAGTGGCAGCTGGCCTGCAGAATCTGCTGGTCTTGGTTCTGCCCCAGCATCTTCAAATAGGTTTTCCCCCATGGACTTTATAACTATCATGCGTAACAGACAGATCTATTAGGAGCTGATGTGGCGATACCAGAGACAAAGATCTGGAGTAATCTCTTACGAAGGCCATGTGGGTTATAAACTTGAAGGGCTGGAGTGAAGTCAGACTCCCTTGAGGTGGTTGTTAGTGACTCAGGAGCTGGCTCTGAGCTGGTGGAATGTGCCTGATCTCAGCATTCAGGAGGCTGAGGCAGCAGTATTAAAGTTTTCAACCAGCCTGCACCAACCACATCATGAGCTGCTATCTTTCAAAAAGAAAAACAAAATAAAGGCTGTTAAGGGTTGTGGTGGTTTGAATGAGAATGGCCCCCATAGTCTCATATATTTGAATGTTTGCTTCCAATTGGTGGATTGTTTGGGAAGGACTAGAAGGTGTGGCTGTGTTGGAGGAGGTATGTCACAGGAGGTGGACTTTGGGGTTTCAAAAGCCCATGCCAGGCTCAGTCTTGCCTTCTGCCTGTGGATCAGGATGTATGTAAGCTCTTGGCTACTGACCCAGCACCATGCCTGCTTGCCTGCCACCACACTTCCTTCTGTGATAGACATGGACTGAAACTGAAAACCCTCTGAAACTATAAGCAAGACCCAATCAAATGCTTTTTTTCTAATAGTTGTCTTGTCATGGTGTCCCTTCACAGCAAGAGAACACTAAGACAAGGGCCTCAGTCATCTTAGTAACAATGAGGATGAAGATAATGAATTAGAGAAAATGAGATAAAAATAATTTATGATGAAATGCATGGGAGGGAGCCAGAGTACACAATGTTCTTCTTAAATTGTTCTGCAAACTAGAGTAGACACATTATGTGCTTTATTAGCTACAGTGTGGCTGGGATGGAATGTGTATGTTATCTCTCATATAATAGTTAATCAGCTCCCAGTAGACAACACTATTTCACAGGCTTCTGTTCATTTCGTTCTACTCCTTGGTGCTTTCATGGTTTTTACGGTCAAAATAAACTCACCATTTTGTCCGTGCTTCATCCTGTGGGTAGAAGGGAACAGCAAGTGGAAAGCAGTGAATTTCAAACTTAGTGTGGAAAATCTGCTCACATCCTAGTGGCGGCCACATGTCACAAATATGTAAAAACAGAGCTTAAGTGTGATAGCAGAGGCTATCCATAAAAGCCAAATGCTGGGAATAAAAAGAGCCTCTGTCATTATTGGCCTAAAACAGAGTCAGTCACTCGTGAGTGTAAGCAGGCAGTCTTAGAATCCAGCTCAGACCTCCTCTCACAGATACTGGCAGGCACCCTCCTGACACTCAATGAGCCTAGGGCTAGCAGACTTGCTTTTTTTTTTTTTTTTTGAGTCTACATTCAAGGACTGTTACATCAGTACCCACAGCTTCTCCCCTGACTCCCTGAATCAGAGCCTGGCTTCAGGCTCCATTTTCTTTGAGACATCATGCTGTCTGTCCGTGGTATGGAGGCCTAAACTCTCCCTGGACTTCCATGCCATGCTTCTCCCCATCTGTCCATGGCCTAACTCCAATGAACTCCTGTATCCCTAGGAGTCTGTCTCAGTGTTCTCTTGAACCCCCAGCTTCATTCAAAACCTAACACGGAGGACCTTTTTATTCCTGCTGAGCAAACCAGACCCTCCCCAGTAGAAACAATCTAGAGTTACACCCAGAATGTGAATCCACAAAGATATTCAGGATATCTGGGTATCAGAAAGAATGACAAAACACTGGATACTGGGGGCAGGAACCATCCATGCCTCAAATAATCTGGCAACTTCCCTCTCCCTTCCAGATATTGACAGATAGGAGAGAGTGTCACCATAGGAAAGTATCTTCACAATGTGAAGTATGATGGGCCCACAAAGTACTAATACCAATCAGGAATATTGCATTTGGGCCAATCAGATGAATTTGGCCTAATGCCTATCAAATACTAATTCATGAAGGGGTATAAACTAGTGAACAAAAGAAAACATCAATAATGGTAACACGTGAAATGTATCACGTTCGGCTGATTTGAGAGAACATCTAAGAATCTGATTAGTATTTCCTGTGATAAAGAATTATACTTTCACATTTAAAAATCTTAAAATGTATTTAAATGATACTAAAGGTAGAGTTTAATTAGGAAAAAGTTTTAGGATCTGGGTGAGGTGGCAAGTCTGTAATTCTAGCAATCATTGGATGGAAACACGAAGATCCGAAGTTCAAAGCCAATCTCAGCTACGTAAGTTCCAGACCAGCCTGAGCTGCATGAGAATTTGTCTCAAAACACCAAAAAGAAAGGAAAACTTAAACGGGATTACAGGGCTGGAAACTGGGTCAGAGGTTAAAAGCATTTGCTGCTCTTTCAGAGGACTGGAGTTCCCAGCACCTGTATCAGGCAGCTCAAAAACCACTTTAACTCCATCTCCAGGGGACTCAACACCCTTTTCTGGCCTCTCGGGGCACCCCTGAACATTGGAGGGCTAGAGGAAGGAAAAGGAGAAATGATAGATTTCAATTTCAAAAAAATTTAAAATTATATAAACGTAAAAAAATCTCTAAAAAAATTAAAAACTGGGATGGTTAAACAGCTCAGCAGGTAACAGCGCTTGCCCCAAGCCTGACAACCAACGCAGTCCTCAGGAAGCACATGGCTGGAGGAGGGAGCTGACCCCAACAAGTCCCCTGACTGCCACGTGGGTGCTGTGGCGTGCGCATACACACAACACATAAATGTTAAAGAAGAAAAAAAGGAAAGGGAAAGAGAAGGGAAAGAAAGCAGGGCTGACCAGATTGCTTGGCGGGTAGTGGGTAAAGGCGCTTACCGCCATGCCTGAAGACACTGGTTAGATCTCAGCACCTCCATGTCAAGAGAACTGACTCCTGAGACTTGTCCTCTGCCTTCCCATGTGTGCACCCACGACCCCAACACACAACAAAACATAAGGGTAAATGAACATGATTTAGCTCCCACACATAATTGAAAGACTTGAATTTTGCTTTTTTTCTTTTTTATTATCCCAGCAAATGTTACACTAGTGGAAATGATTGGGAAAATACAAATAGATTCATTCAGACTGATTATTTGTTCTATTACATTCAGAAATATGCAAAACCGTTGTTATATTGCAAAGCTGTAATTCTTTTTTCTAGCAAAGCATTATTTTATAAAATGGTAGTGTTGCCATTGATTCCACTTTAATACAAAATACTTATATACATAATACAATATAAAAGTAAACTGGGAAGTGCCCTCCACAAAGGAATATAACTAAGGCACTTTATAAATATACCAATGTTGACCCAAATTACGTTTTATTTTAGATTAAAAAACAAAAAGACTGTTTCACTTTAAATATCAAAGGGATATTTTGTTTATTAAAGAAAAATTTCTAAAGTACCTTGGGTAACAGCAGCAGCATATCTAAAACTCCTCCCACTGTGTTTCTAATTTCTAACGTATTATTAAGTCAGAATAAACATTTCCACTCACAGTTTTGCACTTCTCAACAGCAGAAGGAAATAACTTTTTAAAAAAGTCAATCTCAAAGTGACTTCTTAGTCATACATTCTATAGTTTCTATTACAAATAGGAAGGTAGGTCAGATACAGCAACAGGGCCTGCCTCAGGACGTCACTGAATACACAACAGTATGTACAATACATAATTATAGAACGCATTTTATAAATACTATTGATCCGCATTAAAGGGGCAAGTACACAGACAGCCAGTTTTCTGGGACAGCATGGAGAACAGCGTCTTCACCTTGCTGCAGTTGAGTGTCCAGGTTTTATACTGTTCTCATTGCTGCTCAGAAAGCACCAGCTTCAGGCTGGAAAAACTGGATGTAGTCAGGGAATAAAATAGCCAATATGAGTATCCAAAATATTAAAATTGTGGATAAAATACTAAAATCACAGATACCAATGCTTGTATACTGCCTCCAGCAAATATTAGACACTTATACTGTCAGAGGCGTTCAGAAGAACACAGAATTTGTGGTCTTTATATTCTGAGGAGACATGGTCATGGAAGGGGAAAGACAGCACCTTTGTTTTTCTGCAGTGTGAACATGATGAAGTTGATTTTCTACTGTATTGCACCATAATCCATGAGTAAAACCACTAAATGAAAATGTAAATTTGAGTGAGAAAGCTCAAATGTGGGGACCAAGTAAAAAATTCTTGAGTAAGTATGTTTTGCATAGGAGTTTACAGACTATTCCAATGCCCATGATTTAAAGGCTGTTTCATGATAGCACATTCTCTTACAATAACACTAGACATTGTAGTGCCCTCAAAAACAGTGTTTAGAACATGTCAGTGTTGTGCCAGCATTCACAGGGTCATCACATCGTGCTCTAGAAACCTTTCCAATGACAGATCATCATTGTTTTTACAAAATGTGCTCATCTAGGACTGTGCAATAAATTAAGAGTTTTCAGTTTAATGTAGCAATTTACTTACAGGATGCAGGTCTTTAATCTGTTGTCTAAGGATTTTTTTTTTTTTTAATCATATTCAGGGACCCCTGGAAGTGCATGCAACACTTTCTGTGTATGTGTTGACATGCACTTTTTCACTAGGGCTAGAGTTCACAAAGCTTCCATTTCAAAAGAACCAGAGACCCCAAAGGCCCACCCTTACACTGCAACAGGTTCTAAACTGGACATGCAAATGTAAGCTAATAACCTAATAATTTTTTCTTTCCTCAATTCAACCAAATAACTGACTTTAATTTTATTATACACATGGTTTCAAACAAATTGTCTTTTACAAGAAAGCTAGATAGGTAAATTTCATTCCTATCCACAAACAATGAGTCTGATAAAGCAATTCATGTCAGTAAACTTAAGAGAAAAGGAAATAACATACAGACTTTACTAGGGTCAGAATACAGCCCAATTCTTCTTTCTAAAAGATGTTACTATTCATTTTGTTATGAAGCCACAATTCTTCCTTAGAACCTAAACATTATATAAATAGGCACATTAATCTTAAATAAGTTAGGAAGTCTTCAATTTCTAAACCACTATATATCTTCTTCTAATTAGGAATGGTCATCCCAATTAGGAGTTAATAATTCTTTTTAACCAATTAATCTACTCTTAGGTATAATAGTGCCAATAGAAACATTTTCCTGTGCCAGTGACTTGCATTGTAGCACTATTCTGAAAGAGGAAATCTACAGCATTGACGACACAATCAAGATTAGTCGCTGTACAGCCAAGGTACCTTTGGGGGACAGCGGTGCTGGGGATTGAACCCAGGGCTTTGTGTATGTTAGGCAAGTGCTCTACCACTAAGTTATATCCCCAGCCCCTGGGAAAGTACTTTCTTAGTGAGTCCATACAAATAAATTCTAATCAACATTTTACAAACTGAAACTAATTTCTTTGATTAGGAGATGGAAATTTTTCTTCTAATTTTAAGATAAAAATATTACAGATCTTAGTTTTCAGTATTTAAAAATTTGATTTATGGCAACTTTGTTCCCTTTTAAAACTGGAAGCAGCATTAATACCAACATGGAAACAAACTAGTAGTGCCCTGACTTCTTTTAAAGTCAGTAATTGAGAGGAAATGCTAGGTTAAAGATTTTTGTGGAGGGAAGGGGTAAACTGCATTATTTCTAGTGAACTCATTTTTTTCTGCTCTGTATTCGTGATTCCAGGATATGATTTCCAGATTAGCATTAGCCTAGGTACACCTTCTGAAATGATAGCTTACTTTATTTAGCTTATTGTGAACTAAAACCAAAGTTACAGGGGAAATATGGATATGTTTCATATTTGGTTAAAGCAAGATAAAACTTTTCAAAAACTCTTGAATTTTAAATTATTTAGCATATATACAAATAGATACCAGGTTTCTCTTTTTAGACAGAGCAGTATTTTTTAAGTACTTTAAGTACCAAGAACTGACTATAATACTCAGCTCATAATTTACTTTCCTTATAACAATTTACTCTAAATTACTGAATTAAAAGGGTGGAATAAATTAACATTTTAAAACAATTTCCCCTAATTTAGGAAAATAAAATATTGTATACAGAGCACACAAACTCTGTCACATTTGCATAATCTTCTCAAAACCTAAAAAACCCCTGCATTTCAGGTCTTTCTGCAAATTCTTACAATTATCTCCTAGTCTATTAAACATATACTAGATCATGGTTTTTTACATCTGAGCCTGCGTGTTGATCATCTTCATCAGACTGTTGCTCAGAGCCTTGTGAATTAATGTATTCATATTCAATAGGCTTTGGATAATTGTATGGGTAGCCATTGTCATCAAAAAACCTCCGAAAGGTAAACTCATAGAAAGCATGTTCGGGGTGCTTTCCGTTTTTATACCAGCCGTTCAGAGTGTCATTGATATTTTCTTCCTCATTATCATCACTCCACAACTTATCAGGATCAACAGGGTCAAAATTGGACGTATCTGTTGGGTGTGTGATTTTGGGGATATATGAGGCAGACTGCTGTCTCAGATCACTGGAGAAATCAATGGTTTTAAAGAATGGGTGAGCCTTTATTTCGTCAGCACCATTCTTGCCTAGGCGATCTTCTGGTCCTCGGCAGAGTTTGATGATGAGGTCAGAGGCTTCAGGACTCAGCTTAGCTTGAGGGGGAATGTGAAGAGAAGTTTGCCAGTTGATAACCTTTAGAGAAGAGTTTTTAAAAGTTAGGAAGGGAGAGATGAAAATCAACAATTGCCCCAAGTTTTATATCAAATATCTTACTGGACTACTTGTTTTTCTAAATAATTTTCATGGTATTTTACCTTTTATAATAAATTCACTGCTAGAAAATACACTTTCTCCTATCCTCACCTGTTGAGAAGACTCACAGTAAGGTTGTTTGTTTTGTTTTGTTTGAGTATTGTTGTCTTTGTTTTTTGAGACAGGGTTTCTGTATGTAGCACTGGCTGTCCTAGAACTCACTCTGTAGACCAGGCTGACCTTGAACTCACACAGATCCTCCTGCCTCTGACTCCCAGTGTTGGGATTAAAGAAGGGTGCCACTAACACCTGGCTGTTTGTTTTATCTTTGAGAAAAGGTCTCTCTAAGTAGCGTTGGCTATCCTGAAACTTGCTGTGTGTGATTCTTTGAATGAAAATGGTCCCACAGACTCATAGGGACTGGCACTATTGGGAGGTGTGGCTTTGTTAGAGTAGGTGTGGCACTGTTGAAGAAAGTATGTCACTGGGAGTGGGCTTTGAGGTCTCAGAAGCTCAAGCCAGGTCTAGTGTCTCAGTCTCTTCCTGCTGCCTTTGGATCAAGATGTAGAACTCTCAGCCCCTCTCCAGCCCCAGGTCTGCATGCACTCTGCCATGTTTCCCACCATGAAGATAATGGACTAAACCTCTAAACTGTAAGCTAGCCCCCAATTAAACATCTTCCTTTTTACAAGAGTTGCTGTGGTCATGGTGTCTCTTCACAGCAACAGAAACCCTAACTAAGGCACTATATAAACCAAGCTGACCTGGAACTCACAGAGATCTACCTCTGCTTCCCAAGTGTTGAGATTAAAGGTATGTACCACCACGCTAAGTTTAAATAGGTTGACCATTCCTAATTCAAAAAATTCAAAATCTGAAATACTTTAAAACACAACATTTTGAGGGCTGGAGAGATGGCTCAGTGGTTAAGAGTACCGGCTGTTCTTTCATAAGACCTGGGTCCAATGCCCAGCAACCACATGGCTCACAACTGTAACTACAGGAATCTAACACCTTTATATCAATGCAATAAGGTAAAGTTAAATAAATTATTTAATAAAATAAAATAAGGTGCAATATAATTGGGAGTCCCAACCAAAGAATGTGCTAGACACCGCTGGTGCTGGCGTGCAGCTCTCCGTTCTAGTGGCTTTAGTCTGTCTCCACACCGACAGTTGGAGGGATCTCCCCATTCATTACTGAAATCCATGCTATCTTGCCGTGGATGATCCCCTGTACAATAAAAAGGAAAAAATTAAATGAAAGCAACAAGGACAAAAGTAAACCTCAATCTGTTTAACCTCTGATATCATGATTAAGAGCTAATACTTTCCCTGGCTGGCTGGTGGTTGGTGCACACCTTTAGTCCCAGCACTCAGGAGGCAGAGCCAGGTGGATCTCTGTGAGTTTGAGGCCAGCCTGGTCTACAGAGCAAGCTCCAGGACAGACTCCAAAACTACAGAAAGAAACCCTGTCTCAAAAAAAAAAAAAAAAAAAAAAAAAAAAAAGAGAGAAAACTTTTCCTGTAATAAATTAATGCACAAAAGATGCCAAGTCAATGGCAGCATTACTATTACTGACGAGGGCCTGTTTGCTGAGATATCCACAGGAGAAGATGTGAACTAAGAAACATTGAAGACTCAATAATTTACTCAACATTAAATGATAACAGTGTAAGTCATGAGTAGGTAGGAGAAAGTATCATCTCAATCAAACCATTCTGTTATTTTTCTGAGGGTATTTTTAAATGCATCTGATCAATTTCATTCATTCAACAAAAGACAATAAATAAGAAAGATTCTTCACGAAGCTCACACTCTGGCAGGGGAGAAGCACAATAAACATATATACATATAAGAAACACAGTGATGATAAGGGTTGAGGGTGGATCTCAGCTGTCAGGGTGCTTGCCTAGCCCTGGGTTCCATGGTCAGAACTGCAATAATCTGGATTGGTAGAATATACCTGCAATCCCACCACAGCTTTGCTGGCCCCTTTTAATTATTTTTCTTTTTAAAATTTATTCATTATGTGTATACAGGTGGGCATGTGCACATGGTAAGTACAGAAGCCAGCAGTGTCAGGTCTGCTTGGAGCTGGAGATATAGGCAGTTGTGATCCAACTCGCATGGGTTCTGGAAACTGAACTCAGGTCCTCGGCAAGAGGAGTAGGCACCCTTGTCTCCAGCTCTGTTTCTTTCTTTTTTTTTTTCTTTTTGAGACAGTGTCTCATTGTAACCCAGACTGGCCTTAAACTTGCTAGGTAGCAAGACTTTAATCCCAGCACTTGGGAGACCTCTGTGAGTTCAAGGCCAGCCTGGTCTACATAGTGAGTTCCAGGAAAACAGAGCTTGTCTCAAAACCAGAAGAGGACCAGCAAGATAGCCAGTCCTCATGACCTGAGTTTAACCCCCAAGAACTATGTGAAGGGGAGAAGCAACTCCAGCAAGACCTCCAACTTCCACATACACAAAGTAAGGGGCTGGTTTGGGCGGTTGTTGTTGTTTTTAAACCAAGAATTAAAAAAATTAAAGGGGGCGGGCTCAGTTGGTAAAGTGACAGCTGTACAAGCTTAAGGACCTGACTTTGGATCCCTAACACCCCTGTAAAAGCTAGGTGCTATAACCCTACCCCTGGGAAGGCAGAGACAGGTGGGTCCCTGGAACTAATGACTGACCAGCCAGCCTATCCAAATCCATAAGCTCCAAGTACAGTAAGAAACTTTGTCTCAAAAATAGGATTATTAAAAAATAAATAAATAAAAATAAAAATGGAGGGGCTGTTGAGATGCCTCAGCTGGTAAAGGAGCTTGCCACTAAGCCTGATGACCTGGTCTGGATCACTGGAACCTACATGGTAGAAGGATAGAACCAAGTCCCACAAGTTGTCCTTTGATCTTTAAACATCATGGCATGTACACACTGTGCCCACAGACACATATAATATATAAACATAAATGTAAAAACTAAAAGATAATAATTAAGGAAGATACACTGACCCATGCCCCTACATGTGCATATAACCACATGAACTCTATGCACACATCTGCCCACATACACATGACGATGATGGTACTGAGGGTGTACTTGGTGGTAGTCTCATGGAGAGCACATGTTAAGCATGGAAGAGGTTCTGGGTGCCAGTCCCCAGCACCACACTCACACACATAAAAGGTATGGCATGGATCTGCAGTCCCAGATACACAGAAGGCAGAGGCAGGAAGATTACTTGAACCCAGGTATTCAAGACCAGTCTAGAGAACACAGAAAAGAAGACACGCTGACTATATATAGGACAGTCTTTATAGTAAAGACAACAGAGGAGAGGACACAAGTGAGATGAAAGGGAGAATGAATGAGAAAGTAACATTGCTAAAATGGAAATGGTAAGAACTCAGTCCTATGAGAGTCAGGACAAGGCTTTCTCCACAAAGAAACAGCAACAGACGGCAGGCCAGTAGAGTCGCTAAGGGAGAGATGCAAGGGCAACACACCGTTACAGTGAAAAGATATGGGAGAGTGTGAAGCAAGAGAACAAAACAACCTGATGAGATTAGAGAAAGCAGCTCCCACAGCCTGTGGGGGCTGCAGCAGGAGGAGCGCTGAGCTGTGCTCTGGAGAGCAGACTGCAGGACAACAGGAAGGGAGGCCAGCCAGGTGACTGCAGAAGCCTGGCTGAGCAGGCTAAGGATGCAGCTGCAGAGGGACGCAGCCACCTGGGCAGGTGCCAGTGCCAGTGTTCCAGAGCTGACAGCTGTGGCATTCTCTGCTAAGTTTCAACAGCTATTTGAAATCCATGTGGAAACAGAGAGGCCATTTCTAGAGAGACGTGAAGTCATGAACATTTATAGGGTATTGAAAACTACTTACAGTACTGCAATTAACCTAATTGTAAAAATCACCTGGGAAATTTCATTAAAATATAGTTCCCAATTTCCAGAGAACATTTTTCAATCAAGTCTGAACCAGAGCCTAGGAATTATACTTTTTAGGAGAGTCAAAAGTAATAAAGTTAAATGTGGGAGACCCTTAATTCCAGCCACTCAGTGTGCTGCTATGGAAGAACATGCCTATAATCCCTGAACCTGGGAAGCTGAGGCAGGAGAACTGTGAGTTTGGAGTTCAAGACTGGCCTGTGTGCCAGGCAGATGTCTGTGGATTCAAGGCCAGTTTGGTCTACAAAGCAAGCCAGAGCTGTTACACAGAGAAACCCCCTTCTGGGGGTTGGGGTTGGGGGAGACTGGCCTGTGCTATATAGTGAAACCCTGCCTCAAAATTAAATAAATAAAAAAGAAAGAAATCCATCTGTTTGTGTTCATATACCCCAAAGGCTAACACTTACCTTAGAAGATGCTATAAGCACTAAATTAGAATATATGTAAAGCACCTAGGAGATAGTAAGTATTCAACAAACATTAGATCAACTTACACTTCCATTAGCGCTTGAAGGGTTCTTGGTGAGGCAGTGTGGTAGAAATAACATGGGCCCTGTAATCAGACAAATCTGGGTTCAAAGCCTAGCCCTTACACTTAATTTCTGTCTGACCTTGGACAAGTTACTTCACCTAAGTCTCATGTCTTCATTCGGCCTCACAGCGTCACATGATTAAACAGAATCATGTGCATGTGTTTAGGGTTAAATAGATTGTGTGACAGTCATATATAGAACTCTAAATAGCAGTGGAAACAAAATATATTCAGTAAAATGGAGAACTCTCAAAAACAAAAGAAGTAAACAAAAAGAAAAAAGAGACACAAAAAACATATAGAATGATTAAAATTAGTTTCAATAGTAGGAAAAATGAAGTAATATATTGTTGATGAATATAATACATAATGTATAGAATGTATCTACAGAATATAGTGTTCAGGCCTAGTAGTGTGAGCCAATAATCCCAGTTACATAAGAAGCTGAAGGTTGAAGAATCCCAAGTTGAAGGCTTTCCTGAGCTACCAAGTGTAAGTTCAACTGAAGTCTGGGCAACCTAATGAGATCTTGTTTCTGAATAAAAAGTACAAAATGGTGAGGCTATAGGTCAGTGGTAGACTACGTGCCTAGCAGGCAGGAGGCCTGGGAAACAACAGCAGCAGCACAGTGGAGAAAAGTGAAGGACGGACTACAAAGTTCTAAATAATGGATGACTCTGGAGGAAAGAAGGGAAAAAACTACTAAGAGCATCTAACAACTACTGGTTATTTTGGTGGACACAGAGGCTTTACTCAAAAATTAAAAACTGACACCTTTCAAAAGTGACAAAATTTTATAATAGTGACTTTAAAAATTTTAATAATATTTTAAAAAAATAAACTTTATATACTCTTTAACTTTATAGATGTAAGTGTAAGGGATTTACCTAAATTTAATGAGATATTAGAAACCAACCCATGTCTACTGGTCTCATCCAGGATTGAAGTCATCTTAAGTTGTACTAAATAAATCAATTGTATTACGGTGAGTTAAAATGGAATTTACACGCTCACTTACCACTCTGGTAGTACTTGGAATCATGTGTCCATCGGAAGCCAGTGCACAGACCAAAGTCAGTCAATTTAATATGGCCATCTCGGTCAATCAAAATGTTATCAGGTTTAATGTCTCTATGAATAAAACCCATTTTATGAACACTTTCAACTGCACAGGTAAGTTCTGCTATATAGAATCGTGCCAGATTTTCTGGAAAGATGCCCATTCTAATTAATAGGCTCATCATATCACCCCCAGGAATGTAGTCCATCACAAAGTACAAATTGTCCTTATCCTGGAATGAGTAATACAAGCGAACCACCCATTCATTGTCAGCTTCAGCCAGAATATCTCTCTCGGCTTTAACATGAGCAACTTGATTTCGAAGTAGAACATCTTTCTTTCGCAGAGTTTTTGTTGCATACAAAGCTTTAGTATCGACTTTTCTTGCTAGACAGACTTCACCAAACGCTCCTATTCCTAGTGTCTTTATCTTCACAAACATAGACTTGTCCATTTTAGCCCTTTTAAGACGAATATAGTTAGACTCTTTCTGGCAAAGCATCTTTCTCATTTGATCCTGGGCATCTTGAGACAATCCAACCTAGGTAAATAAACTAGAGGTTAAATAAGGAATTGTACTGAATAGTAAGAAATAGCTTAATAAAAAATTCAGGCATATTTTGAAAGTTAAATGCATAATGATTTTTAATAAAGCATGTTAGAATTCTAGAATGTATTTCAGAGAAAAATTAATGATCAAAGTCAAGCTTGAAAGCTAGTAAACAATACATAAGGTGAGTATGTATGCACATTCAGGTGTGGAGAGCAAATAGAAGAGGGTATCACCAGTCAGGCTTCTCTTCCTTCGAGAGCACTCACGGAACAGCTTCCCAATACACAATAAAGCAAATGTCTGTTAACATGCATTCTCAACTCTCTCCGTGCAGAGTCTCAAATTACAGGACTAGACTGCCTTCACCAAATCATTTTTGTAGAATGTCTAGGCCTCAAATATCTTCCCCCTAATTTTATCTTTCACAGAGAGAATTTTTTTCACTCCAGGTTCAATCATCCTTAAAAACAAAAAGAAACAAACAAATGGCTCAGCAGGTAGAGGCACCTGTGACCACGTTTTGATCCTTAGGACCCACATGGTGGACAGAACCAACCCGCTCATGTTGTCCTCTGACCTCTACATGTTCTCAGAGGCTTGTGCGCACATGTGCACGAACACGCACAAATTCACACACACACACACACACACACACACACACACACACACACACACACACACACACACACACACAAATGTAACTAAAAATTTTTTAAAGAAATAGACGAAAGTCATGGTAATCTTTCTTTTTCTTTCTGACAGCATTAGCAAAAGTGCAAAAGGGACAATATGCTTGGTATCTTTTAGATATTCTAAAATAGTTCTTAAAATTATTGTGATAAAGGGCATTATCAAAAAACAGATAGGAAACTGGAGATATGGCTGAGCAGTTAAGAGCACTGACTGCTCTTCCAGAGGTCCTGAGTTCAATTCCCAGCAACCACATGGTGGCGCACAATCATCTTTAATGAGATTTGGTGCCCTCTTCTGGTGTACAGCAGAACACTATGTACATAATAAATAAATAAATCTTTAAAACAACAACAAAAAACAAAAAACAACAACAAAAAAAAAAAAAACCAGATAAACACAAAGCTCAGCTTCTAAGCAGCCACAGAATACCTGAACTTAGAAGGCGAGGAGTTTCTTTGGCTAATACAGAATTTACTAACTTTTAAAAGGACAAGACTTGGAAAAGTAGAGGCTAATTTTAGAAATGCAAGACTAATCTCAATACAGCAACCTCATGCTTCTGTTAGGATGTGCACTTGCATGCAAAGTCTTTTCAGAGTGGTAGCATGCCAGATTTAGTACAGAACTCTTTCTCTTAAAATCTTACTTGCCTACACAGTAATGGAGGCTACAGAAGTCAGCAAAGCTTCCAACACCATGAAAGTTTAAGTCAGCTATTAGTGAAAGTGAAGAGGAAAAAGGAAAAATAAACTAAGAAAATACATAGACTTTAGTAAGAAATTCTAAGAACAATGTGAATAAAATAATTTGTGGTATTTCTCATTTAACGTAATTATTTATAGTAAGAAAATACTGGTGGGGCAGTGGTGACACAAGCCTTTAACCCCAGCACTCAGAAGGCAGAGGCAGGTTGCTCTCTGTGAGTTCGAGGCCAGCCTGGTCTACAGAGTGAGATCCAGGATAGCCAGGGCACAGAGAAACTGTCTCAAAACCTGCCCCCAGCCCCCCAAAAAGAAAATGTCCTACTGAACTAAAGTGAGACTTGGAAGTAATCATTTTATAGCTCTTTCAGCATGAAAAGAAGCATAATCTTCTTACACTTTGAGCGGCAGATGTAAAAGGAGGGAGAATTCAAAGCTTTGCATTCCAAGCATATGATAAACCATGATGGTGAGGGCTCGACCATAGAACCTACCAACAGCATCTATGTGGGATCTGAAGCAAGTGATCATTACTCTGATCTCCCGAATGCATTCAACAATCTCAGCATATTTTCCTCAACATCATTAGAAGAGGAAAATAACTGCAAAGAGATGATTTTGACACTTCCGTCTTTTACTTAATTTTTTTCTGGTGTGTGTGTGACATAATCTTGCTACATAGCCTTGGCTGCCTTGGAACTAGCAATGCAGGCCTCTGCCTCCTGAGTGCTGGGATTAAAGGTGTGTGCCACCATACCTGGTGACTTCGACACTTTCTAATAATGTGTATATAAAGAATAAACATCAGATTCTCGGCTAAACAGCAATGATTTTTATGTGTACTGAAAACCCAGATATTTCTAGTTGACTTCTGTATGTTGTAAAATAATGTATAAAGCCTAGAAATTAACTTATTTTAATTTCCATATCCAATATACTATAAATAATGTATTTTAACTTTACATAAGAACTTTATTATAGGAAATGCTGAACAAATCACTGAAATGCTACAATCAAAAATTTTCTCAAAGTTTACTCAAATTATTAGCAACACATTATACTTCTCTACAAGAATACTGGAGCATAATATCTGAAAACACCAAGGAAAGAGAAGATCAAGTATGAAAATATTTTTACAAGTTTTACCCGCATCATTTCATTTTCTAACTGTTTCTTCCGATGCAGACGCTGCTGATGAGATTTCAGGACATTTTCCACGTGTTGCTCCATAAAGAATTTAAATGCCTGAGGGGAGTAACTCTGAATACGAGATTCTCTTCGTTCTTCATCTTTCTTGTTTTTCCTAACAGTGATAGGTGAAGTTGTAATCTGTTTCTTTTCTTTATCCCCACTATCAACATTTTCCAAACTTTTCTCACCATCATCGTCCTTGGGTAAGCTAGGCTGATCATCTTTGCATGGTTTACTTAGTGACTCATATGGAGGGACAGATGGGTTTTGGTGTAGCAGATGTTTTGGATAAGGTGGTGGTGGACCTTGATAGCTTGGAGCTTCAGCAACGGGTGGAATGACAGGCACATTTGAAGCTGTACCCTCAGGAAAAGGGGTAGGCTGAACAGTCTGAATTGGCTGTGGCATCCAAGAAGGATGGGTAGGGGCTAAAGCAGTCTGCAGCTCTGGTTTCAAGACACGCATGCTTTTCACAGGCTGCTGAATAGGAGCTGGTGTGATCGCAGTGACTGTAGTGGCTGAAGGCTGAGAATTAGCAGAGTGACTTGGTCTACTTCCTAATGGGTTATTAAAAGAATTTGACCTCACTGGTATGTTAGGTTGCCATGTAGGAATTTCATGCCCACTGCTTGGGGATGATTGGACAGGAGCAGAAGATGACTGGGGCCAAGTTGTTTGCAGTCCAGGTACATTAATATTATAAAGCTCCATGTTATGACTGTTCCTGTTTGGCACCATCATTGATTGAGGAATATTTCCATTTGCATAGGATGGAGGAGCAGCAGATCCCCCTGTTTGTAAAGCAGAAGGGCTTTGTCCATTAGTTGGGGTGAGGGGGTATGGAGGTGGTGGCTGTCGATTCATAGCACCAGCAGGGACAACATTTTGGTGCATGATAAAATCGGTCTGACCACCACCATTTGGAACTCCAGGTCTCCCTGGTGGAAAGTTAAATTTGTTAGTACTTTGCATGATGATTGGTTGTCTGCCAACTGGAACAGAATTAATGCCTCTCTGTCCCTGGTTAGGAGGATTCATGGGAGAAGTGTTAAGAGGTGCTGGAGGGTAGCCCTCCTGCCATGCCCCAGGTGGAACAGGAGAGATTCGGGAGATTACGTATTCCATGCTCCCAGAATAACGCTTTGTCTGAGAGTTTGGTTCCCATGAGGGGGGAGGTGGAGTTGTGCCTCGTGGAGGGGGAGTCTGGCCTCTTGGAGGTGGTGGAGGAGTAACACTTCTAACTTGAGGTGGTGGTGGGGGATTCACTCTCTGTCCATTGCTTGGGTGAGCTTGAGTAAATGCTGTAATGCCAGATCCAGACAGGGGTCTTCCTACATCTGCCTGTGAGTTGGGGCTTTCAGAACGATAGACCACATTTTCTCCTAGAGGTGGGCCATGTCTCTGAGGAACCAAAGACTCTTTAGAACCTTTCCAGCTTTGTTTTCGATTAATTGATTGTTGCACGTTTCCTATGATTATAAAAGAAAGAACAGTCATTTTTAACCTATCATTTTAAAATAATTTATCTCAGAATAGTGATACCACTAAATGATACTCAAGTTTAAGAATTGTAAAAAAGGAGTAAGTCAAGAAATCAATCTTACATGTTGACTATAGTTGAAAACAATGTATTCTTGGGCCTGGAGAGATGGCTCAGTGATTAAAAGTGCCCACTGCTCTTACTGAGGACCTATGTTCAGTTATCACCACCCACAGGGCAGCTCACAATGGTAACTACAACTCTAGGGGATCCAATACTCTCTTTTGAACTTCACAGGCACTAGATACATGGGTCTACATACATACATGCAAGTAAAATATTCATAACATAAATATAATAAAAAACCAAAACACTCTTGGGAACTGACCAAATAATTAATTATTTTAAGGGTTTTATTTGTCATATAGCCTAGGCTGGCTCAAATTCTTGGTCCTCCTGCTCTAGACTTCCATATGCTGGGAAAACAAGGGTATACCAACCCTGCCCAAATCTAAGAAAGGAGATTTTAGTATTCCCATCAAACCCTCCCCCAACAAGTGAGATAGTTCATATGTTAGTTAGCTTGATTTAGCCCCAAAGGTTATGAATTAAAATTTCAGCAAGAGGTTTTACTTAAAAACATGTTTATTACTTTTGATTAATTCTGTGTATGTACATGTGCCATAGCATGCATATGTAGGCCAGAAAACAACTTGAGTGGGGGAGCTGGTTCTCTCACTTTTTTTTTTTTGAAGAAGGCAGGGAGGAATGTTTTTGAGACATTCAGGCTGCAGGCTGACCTGGAACTTACAATGTACATACCAAGTTTGAGGCTAGCCAAGGCTACAGAGACCTTGTCTCTTTTTTTATTTTTTAACTTCATTTTTATATTAATCTTATCTTGTAAATTTATTATTATTATTAATTTTTTGAGACAGAGTTTCTCTGTATAGCCCTGGCTGCCCTAGAACTCATTCTGTAGACCAAGCTGCCCTCTAACTCAGAGATCTGCCTGTCTCTGCCTCCTGAGTGCTGGGATTAAAGATGTTCGTTACCACCTCCTGGCTATTTTTATTATTTTTAATTATATGTATGTGTCTGTGTACCCTTGTAGGTCAGAGGCATCAAATCTACTGGAGCTGGACTTGTGAGCCACCTGATGTGGGTGCTGGGAATCGAACTTGGGTCCTCTGCAAAAGCAGTACACAGTCCTTTTTTTCTTTTTTTAAAATCTTGATATGGTAGTTTGAATGAAAATGGCCACCATTGGCTCATAAAAAGTGGCATTATTTGAAAGAATGTGGCCTTACTGGAGTAGGTGTGACTACAATGGAGGAAGTGTATCGATGGGGATGGGCTTTGAAATTTCAGAAGCTCAAGCCAGGCCCAATGGTTCTCTCTTTTCCTTCTGCCTGCAGATGATGCAGATGTAGAACTCTTGGCTCCTTCTCCAGCACCATGTCTGCCCGTGTGCCGCCACATTTCCTGCCATGTTTCCCGCCATGACAATAATGAACTAAACCTCTGACCCTGTAAACCAGCTCAATTAAATTAAATGTTTCTTTTCTAAGAGTTGCCATGGTCATAGTGTCTCTTCACAGCAATAAGCCCTAACTAAGACACTCTACATGTTAATTTCTTTTTTATTCCTCCACTTCATAGTATACATTCTTAACCACTAGCCATCTCTCTAGCTATAGACCTTATCTCAAAACAACAACAAAAATATTTTAGGGGAGAAATCAAGTTTTGTTGCTGTTCTTCTTCTTCTTTTTTTTTCCAAAACAAAAACCTGGGCCCCAAACTAGGGTTCTATTTTGCTTTCAATTCCTTTTAAAAAGCTAGTACTTCCTACCAATGGGGGCACATTTAGATTTTCTTATCTGGTAAGTTCCTTCCTTTCCTCTTCCCTTCTTTCTCCTCCCAAATACTAGGGCCTGAACCCAGAGACTCACATTTTTTTGTTTTGCATTTTGAGATAGGGTCTTACGAGGTGGCCCAAGTTAGCCTTGACTTTCACCAATCCTGCCTCTGCCTCTTGAGTGCTGGGATTGCAGACATGAGCCACTATGCTCAGCCTCACGCTGTCATTCATCTACAATTTCAGCATTAGATCTACCCTATGATGTCATCATCATATAGTCTGAGCATCCATATAGATGAATATCCACTGCCTTCATCTCAGCTTCACCAACTCCAGAACTTTATAAATTATTAAGCTGATTGTGGTGACACACATATTTAGTCCAAGTGCTTAGAAGCAGAGGCAGGTGGATCTCTATGAGTTCAAGGCCAACCTAGTCTACATACAGTTCCATCTCAGCCAGGGCTACATGGTGAGACCCTGTGTCTCAATAATTCATGATTACCTAGAAATGGAAGAAACCTGAGATCTTCCCCAGAGACAGTTTGATTGGCACTGTTCTCATCAATATCCTCAGAAAAAGGACTGAGAGTTATGCATGCTTTTGTTCCTCAGTTAGCTCCAGCTATAATTGTGGATCACTTCAGGTGTTATGGGTCAAACTGTTATGGCCCTGCTCCACAATCACCGTGCTGAAGTCCTCCTGCTGCTCCCTGCCCCTGCCTATAACACACGGACATATTCTGCTAGAAAGGTTAAATGAAAATTTTAGGTTAGGCTCCAGACATATCACCTGTGTCCTAAAAAGAGGAACTCTGAAGCTGGGGTAATGGTTTGTGCCTCTAATCCCAGCACTTGGGAAGCTAGAAGCTACTGCCAACTCGGGGCAACCTGTGCTGTAAACTGAGCTCTGGCCCAGCGTCAGCTACATGGCAAGATTATGTCTCAAAACAAGAAAGCAAAATCAAACCAACCCCCTCCATGCAGCCCCTACAAGGATCAGTTTCTTAGGGAGTTTTCTTCTGATCTTCAACTTTTTCTTTTTTTCAGACAGGTTTGCTATGTAGCATAGACTGGCTTCCAGCTTATGAGTTGAGTCTCTGGGATTACAGATATGACCCACCATCCCCAGCTCTGATTTTTTTTTTTTTTTTTTTTTTTTTTTTTTTTTTTGAGACAGGGTTTCTCTGTGTAGTTTTGGTGCCTGTCCTGGATCTCTCTCTGTAGACCATGCTGGCTTTGAACTCACAGAGATCCGCCTGGCTCTGCTTCCCAAGTGCTGGGATCAAAGGTGTGAACTACCACTGCCCAGCCAGCTCTGATCTTGATTAAGGCAAAAATTCCTCTCGAAGGAGCCTAGTACCATGTAATTCTCCCCTCTTTACTCACATAACTATAATTCGATATGTACTGTGTCTGCACTATGATAGTAGAATGTAAGTTTTATAAGTTGCCAGTAACACACTCAACTAACAGGAAAGTTCTCCAACAGTGGTTGATCAAAAACTTGAACAAAAGGAAAAATGAATACAATCCTCTTACAAGCCAATGGTAAAGAGAAATACATGACTGAAAACATTAAGTACAACATATACTTACTAGTATGTGCAAGGCCTCAAATTCAATTCCTAACACCAAAAACCAACCTAAAAACCCCACAAAAACCACTGAACATAGGCTGAGGAGCCGGAGGGGTGGGGGGTGGGGGTGGGGTGGCGGCTACGACGGAGGCAGCAGCGGCACATGCCTTTGATCCCAGCTTTCGGGAGGCAGAGCCTCCCGAGTGAGTTCGAGGCCAGCCTGGTCTACAGAGAAAGATACAGGACAGGCACCAAAACTACACAGAGAAACCCTGTCTCGAAAAACAAAAAGAAAAGAAAAAAAATACAGATATTCTCACTATAAAATGACAGAGTACCACCCTTTTTTAGACAGCAGTATCTATGAAAAACCTCAAAAATTGCCAAGTTCTTTGAAATTTACTGTTAGGAAGTTCAAAGCCTTAGATGCACAGGTTAAAAAAAAAAAAAAGAGTGGGTACTTGGAGATATAGCACAGTGATAAATCATTTGCCTACATGCCTAAAGACCCAGGTTCAGTCTCTACCACCAGGCAGAAAAACAATGAAACAAGGAAATACCCCTGCAAATGGGATAATGGTTAAATAAATCATGCAGTGAGTCTCAATGGTGCTATTAAAATTTTGTAGGACTAGGAATGTAGCTCAGTGTAGAATGAGTGCTTATCAGGTATGAGGCCCTGGGTCCAATCCCTCCCTAGCATCACCGAAATAATTTTTTGTATACCATTTAGTAACAAAGAAAGTTATGCATGGTAGAGTAAGTAAACAAGTAAGATTTAGTAAGAATGATGCTTTTTTTTCTCCTTTCCTTTAAAAATTTATTTCCTAAATAACAATCAACATATATACATATAGACCATTCAGGTTTCCTATGAGAAGAAAATAATGTGGTTGATATGGTATTGAAAAAAAAAAAAGATACTTATTTGCTTATTTATTTATCCTGATACAGGTTCTCACTATGTAGCCCTGGCTAGCCTGAAATTCCCACATACCATTATCCTAATTTGAGATTTGAAACTTCCCTTTATGGGACACTATGATGGCTAGTCTTGGTTGTCAACTTGACTACATCTGGAATCAACTAAAATGCAGCAGCTAAGCACACCTGTGAGGGATTTACTTGATTGGATCGTTTGAGGTGGGAAGACTCATCCTAAATTTGGGCCACACCTCCTGGTGGCAGCTCACATATGAAGACATCAAAGAAGGATGCTTTTCCTGCTTGCCCTCAATCTTGCTGGCAAATTCATCTATTCTGTAGCAAAGGCATTCCTTTGCTACTAATAGAACCTACTTCTTTAGGATTCCAACAGAGACACGGACTGGACAACTACTAGATTCTCGGCCTTCCAATCAGGAGAGACAACCAGACTTGTAAGCCACCCTAATTAATAAATACCATTCTAGGGGAACTAGAAAGATGGCTCAAGGGTTAAGAGTACTTGCTGCTCTTGCAGAGGACCTGGGTTCAGTTCCCAGTACCCCATATGGTGGTTTACAACTGCCCCAGAGTCTAGACCTCACTGGGCACCAGGAATACATGTGGTATACATACATACTCACATACATGCATAGTACACATACACATAAAATAAAATTTAAATAAATCCCCTTTCATTCCTTTCAATTCTGTTCCTCTAGAAAACCTTGAGTCAATACAGATGCTAACAGCAGTGTCTGCCAGTCTCTCTCTCTCCATCATTCTTCCTTCCTTCCTTCCTTGCCTCCTGCAGTTCAAGCTGACTTTGAATTACTGATTCTTCAGCCTGCCTCCATCGCCCAAATGTTGATATTACCAGGAATGCACCACCATGCCTGGCAATATCAGCAATTTCTAAGACCAAAGATTTGACATATTCAGGTGTTTTACAATATTCTGTAAAAGAAGAGACAAGAAACAAACAAAAAATCCACACAATGAATCACCTGGTTTCATGCTGGCATTAATAGGTCTGGCAGCCGCTGCAGCCATCTGCTCTCGACGAGGATCTTGGTAACTCATTTTACTAATAAATTCAACAGCTGCTTCTATGCTTCTGTTATTAGTTTTCTGAAGAGCTTGAATAACCATGTCCTGATAAGAAATTTTATCAAAAAGAAACATTATATAAATATAATTAGCAGAAGGAAAGAACAGAGTAGTAAGCACAAGAGAAATTCCTAGTTATGAATAAAAGACAGTACCCCAAACCTAACAATGTTTTTTTCATTCTCATTTATTTTGTGTGCATGTGTGCACATGTGTGTGTGCACAAGAATGTTTATTTTTCTTTCTTTCTTTAAGACAGGAATTCACTATGTAACTCTGACTGGCCTAAAACTTGCTATGTAGACCAGGCTGGCCTAGAACTCATAGATCTGCCTGCCTCTGCCTCCTGAGTACTGGTATTAAAGGTGTGCACCACCTCCATCTGGCTAAAGATTTTGTTTTTACTTTATTATTTTAAATTGTGTGTCTATGTGTGTCTGAATGTGGATTTGTGCACATGAATGCAAGTGTCCTCTGAGGCTAGAAGAGGGAAGGAGTCCTTGGAACTGAAGTTATAGGTGGTTGTAAGCTACTTGATGTGTAGGTGCTGAGAATCACACCTAGGTCCTCTGCAAGAGTGCTAGGATTGAAGGCTTTCACCATCATGCCTGGCAGATGTAACTTCTTAAGAGAATAAAAACTAGGAAGGAACTCCTTTACTGATTAGACATACTGGTAAAGGTACTTAATAAAACACTTTAATGATACAAAAGTCACTTCCAGAGTTTTAAAGTCTCAAATTAATTTTTTTTTTATTGTTGTCTGGGTATGTGCATGATATGGGGACAGGTATGTGCTGTGACACACATGTGGAGGTCAGAGAACAACCTTGTGGATTCATTTTTCTCCTTTTAAAAAACATTTAATAATTTATTTAAATTTATTTTATGTGCACTGGTGTGAAGGTGTCAGATCCCCAGGAACTGGAGTTACAGACAGTTGTGAGCTGCCATGTGGTTGCTGGGAAGTGAACTCGGGTCCTCTGGAAGAGCAGCCAGTGCTCTTAACCACTGAGCCATCTCTCCAGCCCCTCTCCTTTCTTTTTTTAGAGACTGAATTGAAGTTGCCAGGCCTGCATGGCAACACATTTATCTGCTTACCATCACTGGCCCATGTCCAGTATTTTTATATATGATAATCCTTGTTTATGTAAGAATAAAAAATAATCAAAACCATATTGCTGGTTTTACTCCCAAGAAGTACTACTAGAAGGAAGCAGCAGGTGTGCTACATAAAGAAGAAAATATTAAGAAACATTTCTAAGATTTGAGGGTTTGTCTTGTATCTTTAATAGTTTGAGACTTACGGGGCTATTATCACCAGTTACAAAGGAGACACTAATACCAGGGTGTGGGACTGACCAGCAGGCTCAGTAGGGAAAGGTGCTGCTGACAAGCCTCATGACCTGATGGTTCTCACCTCGAATAAAGGTGAGACCTGCCCCCTGCAAGGTGTCCTCTGACTGCCACACACTCCCCTTGGCATTCTTGTGTGTGCGCGCGCGCGCGCGCGCGCGCACACACACACACACACACACCACACACACACGCACACAAAATAAATGCGAATGAAATAAGACACCATTAGGTTTGGTAGAGACACAGCTCAGTGGTTAAGAGTACTGACTTCTAGAGAATTAGGGCTGGACTCCAAGTACCCACATGGTGGCTAACAGTTGTCTATAACTCAAGTCTCAAGGGAGTCCATGCCCCCTTCTGGCCTCCCCAGGCATTGCATGCATGTGGTACACAGACATGTGCAAGCAAAACCATACACATAAACTAACCAATTTTTAAAATTAGGTTTACATTTTGAAGAAGTATATTTACAGGAAATATACAAATACTGGGAAAATGATAGAAAAAATATTTAGAGTAGCCATGATGAAGAATTTTAGGAGGTTAGATACTCGCTGAAACAAATAAACATTTATATTTGGTTGTTTTTTAATGTGTTTGTATGTCTGTGCACCACCTGTGTGCCTGGTGCCTGCAGTGGGCAGAAGAGGGTGTCAGATCCCCTGGAACTGGAGTTATAGATGGTTGTGAGCCCCCATGTGGGTGCAGGGAATCAAACCTGGGTTCTCTGGAGAGCAGCTGGTGCATTTGATCCCTGATAACTGATCATTGATAACTACCTCTCAATGATATTTGGAATCAGACTGGTCCAAGGTTGAGTTCCAGCAGCTCCCCTTCAGAATTGTGAGGACTTTTCTAAGTAGTTAATCTTGAGAATTTCCACCTCCTCGAGTGTGACAGATTCATAGGGCTGACCTAAGAGTTAAAAATGAAAGCATGCAAAGCACGGGAGTGCAGTGCCCGGGGCTCAGATGTTGGTAGTCCTCCTGCGTTTCTTTAAAGCTCACTGTAAACATCAAGCATACACTAACACTCAGAAGGCATACAAAAGTACACTTTTCAAGAGGGAGGCACCACCCTACTTACCTGTCCTAAAATATTTAGTATTTCAAGTGACAATAAAAATAGATTAGAAAGATACTGGGTGAACAGACTACTGATAGATGGTTATCCCTTTTAGACTGGCTAGAAATGAATCTGAGCTAACCAAAGACAGGTGGTAGATACTTTTTAAAAAATTTTTATTTATACATTATATTTTATGTATGAGTGCTTGAGTGCTCTGCATGTACACTTGCATGCCAGAAGAGGGCGCCAGATCTCATTACAGATGGTTGTGAGCCACCATGTGGTTGCTGGGAATTGAACTCAGGACCTCTGGAAGAGCAGCAAGTGCTTTTAACCTCTGAGCCGTCTCTCCAGCCCAGGTGATAGGTACTTGCTGCCCACCTGAGAGTAATCTCTCTTGAAAAGGGTACCAAGTTTTCCTTCCTTATTGGGAATTGTACCAAGAGCCTGATTGGTGCTAGACAAGCGCTCTTAACACTAGGTGTCCCCAGTCCTCTTTTTACTTTTCTGTCTAGGGTGAGTTGAGAGTAACGGCTACAAACTCAAACTCACAGCAATCCTCTTGTCTAAGCTTCACAAGAACTGGGATTCAGGAATTCAGTTTTTCTTTTCTTGTTCTTTTTTTTTTTTTAAACTTTTTCTCTCAGGCTTCAACAAGATGCCTAAGTTGGCTGTGAACATAGTCTGCATCCTGGTCCTGAACCTGTGATCATTCTATTTCAGCCTTCCAAGGTATGAGGATTACAGGCTTGTAAGTTACTGATCTTCAGGGGAGAATAAGAGTTTCTGATATAAATCTGTTATCTGATTTGTGTACTGGTCCTTCTTGCATATTGATGCCTAGGCATTAGAAGTGGTACCTGTAAAAGCACATTGCCACCAAGTAAAACCCAAGGGACTCCTGCGAGTTCCAGATTGACATCTTCAAGAGGCTGAGACAATGACAATGATTTAAAATGAACCAATCCTTTTAAAAAATTATCAATTACTTTATTTTTTGTGTACAGGTGTTTTGCCTGAATGTATGTATATGCGCCAGTATGTGACTGGCGCCCACAAAGACCAGAAGAGGGTGTCAGAGCCCCCGGAACTGGAGTTACAGACCACTGTGAAAGACCATGTAGGTGCTGGAAATTGAAACCAAATCCTCTGAAAGAGCAGTTAGCTCTTCTCTAAGCCATCTCTCCACCCCAAATCACCATCATATTCAAAGCATTAATTGAATTTTATTGGATATTAATTGGGTTGAGCAACCAAACTCAATCTCCAACTGAAACAAGGTATACTGTGGTCATGTTTTATGCCAGTCAGATTTTGCAAATTTGTAATGAGATACAAAGAAATTACTCTTACTTTAAATGCAAATTTAATTTATAAATTGGTTAAATCAATAAACTGTAACTATGCTATTAACCATCATATTATGGTAGTACCATATCAGCTGGCAAGAAAACTGGCACCCAATATTGTGGGAATCCTATATTGTTAAATGTTCTAGAATTTTAGCCTATGGTTTTGGTGATTATTATCCTGGCTTTTGTTTTTTTCGTGAAAGGTTCTCAAGTAGCCCATGGTCACCTTAAACTGGATATAAACTTAGCATGATCTTGATCACCACCACAAGGCATACATCCGACAGTCAGTTTTATTACACTAGCTGAACAAAACAAAACTATTGCTACGGTTTAAAAGATTTTCACATAGCTGGGTAGTAGTGGTGCATGCCTTTAGTCTTTGCACTCAGGAGGCAGAGGCAGATAGATGGCTGTGAGTTCCAGGCCAGCCTGGTCTACAGAGTGAGTTCCTGGACTAGTTCCAAATCTATACAGAGCAACCTTGTCTCAAAAAACCAAAATAAATAAATAAATGAATTACATATGTAACAATGTCAGTATAGTGTGCAGTGCTTAAAATGGAGTATTAGTGCCAGAGTGAAAAGAGGATGCTCAAATCGGTACCTTTAATACAAGTGCAATGTGATTTAAAAAAAAAAAAAAAAAAAAAAAACCAATCTCACAGCCAGGTGGTGGTGGTACATGCTTTTAATCCGAGCACTTGGGAGGTAAAGGCAGGCAGATCTCTGTGAGTTCGAGGCAAGCCTGGTTTACAAAGCAAGTTCCAAGACAGGCTCCAAAATTACAAAGAGAAACCCTGTCTCAAAAAACCAAA